GAAGAACTACTTCACAGTTAGGGTGGCTAGGATCTGGAACCAACTTCCAAGGGAAGTGGTGCTGGCTCCTACCCTGGGGGTCTTTAAGAGAAGGCTTGATGCCTACCTGACTGGAATCATTTGAGCTCAGTTTTTTCTCCTGCCCAGGCGGGGGGTCAGACTTGAAGAACTACAAGGTCCCTTCCGACCCTACTTCTATGATTCTATACTTCTGATTGATCATAGTTATCTTTTGCAGACCCCTTAGGCATAGCTTGTGGACCCCCAGGGGTTCATGACCACAGGTTAAAATCCAGTGTTGTATGGCATTGTGCATCACTCTTAAAGGGATCTCACAGCACTCTGGTTTAGAATCACTGCTCTAACTTGATGTTTCTTACCAATAGATTGTTATTAGATTTAAATTTGCTCATGATTTAATTTACACCACTTGCATTTAAAGCAGAGTTACCTGAGAAAAGATGGACATGAAGCAGCCACACAGGGAACTTGTATTTTTATTCAAAATTGGAAAAAAAGGCTCAGGAGATGTTATCTTTTGGATGTGGATGGACTGATTTTTCACCTTTGGCTCTGTGGACTACCATTTGCTGAATTTAAAGCAAACAGGAAAAAAATCAAAGGCTGTGATCCTTACAAATTAAGGGAAATCAAGTTATCCTTCCTGTAGCAATCATGATGTCTTGCCTAGGTATGTAGAATTTTTCATGACAGTGGGCGCGTCTAAACAAGACATTTACACATGCCCTGATTAGGCTGGAGTAAACTAATTTACTCTGGAGCAGGATAGTACTTGTAAATGAAGGTGTTTCAGTGTGGGGCTGCCTGCCAGGTAACCCCATGCTGAAGCACCCTTGTGCCCCATCCTGCCACTCCACAGCACATTAAGTCAGGGGGCAGCAGTCCCAGGCTGGCTGGCCAGCTGGCCCCGACAGCTGGGGCTGCTCCACCTTGGCTCAACGTGCTGTGATTCTGGGTGCATATGCGGACATACTCCCGGGAGCAATAAACTCCAGACCGATTAGCACCAGAGTTTATTGTGGTGTTTTAATAAGCACATGTAGATGCACCCAGTATGTATTCTGCTCATGTTATGAATTTCTTGACTGAATTTATGGTTCTCAACATAATATACAGAATTCTGCAGGGAGGTATAATTTGCTTGACTAAAAGGGAAAAGTGGTAATCAATGACATTCTAATAAATGCACTGCATAAGAAATTCAAAGAAAAGCAAAATGTAGGCCACTTCATGTACAGAAACAACATAAATGGGATTAGTTATGACAGCCTTGTCTAGAAAGCGTAAGTCACATGGGGTGAACCAACAGGTATTTTAGATTTTTAAACTATTGGAAAATAAGCATTCCATGAAAAAGTTAAAATATCAAGCACACAAGCAACCTTGCTAATAACAGTTCCCTTAGATTTAAAAATGTAGCACTGGATGAAAACAATAATGTTCCAACCAGTGCATTCAATGTTAAATAGACTAAGATCAAAATTAGTTATTGCTCGCATTGTTCCATCACAGGGGTTGGCAATGTTTTTGAGCAGAGGGCCACAAAAACCTGCAGCCTCCAACTTGTAAGATGTTAACATACCTGGGGCAGATGGCAGGGGAGCCATGAGGAGCCTGATCCTTGTTGTGGCAGCATAGGCCCAGTCTCTTCCTCGCCATCTGCTCTGAGGCTTGCATGCCAAGCAAAATGCCTTTGCGTGACATGCTCTGGCACTCGTGCTGTGGGTTATCTATCCCTGTTCCATCATTTTGTATCACTTTAAAAAATATTAGATACAGCCATCTAGGGAATGTTCCAGACATTTCTGGGAGCTTTAAATACCTGTGCATTCCTACTGATATCCATGGTTTTGCACAGGTACAGCAAGTTAAAATTTGGCCATGTGTATCACAGATAAGTTGTTCAAAGAGGCGGGATATCATTAGAAATAAACAAACTGCTTTCCTTTATGGATGGCACAAATAAAATTAACTAGATTTAAATTCCAGGATAAAGCTAGAAACTTGAAATGTTTATAGGTCATCCACAAAATAACCATCATCCCATCAAAACTAGACTCCTGACCCATTAAGGTCAACTGTTCTGTCATTGGTTTTAATGGGCCCAGGATTTCATCCACAGAATTTAGAGATATACAAAACTTATTAAGTTACTTAGTTCATTGCCTATGTAGGATTTTTTTCATGGTTCTTTGCCCAGGTTTGCTTGAAATGTTGGTTATGTCACTTCCTTTGAAAGGTCTAATCAACTATACTGTTAGGAGACATGTCATTACATACTGTGAATATTAACACAGCAGATGCAGTTAAACAGAGAAGTTTTCAAATGTTCTAAAAAAATACAAACCCCAACACACACATCTCATTACAAAAAAAAAATAAAATAAAATTCCAGGAAATTAAACACTACACTTTGTATCTCATATTTATCTACGCAGTGATATGTTGCCTCCACAATAGCAAGAGGGTTGGTTTGTTGTGATTATTGTGTTTCAGGCTGATTCATATCTTCTAAATGTTTCCTTGTTGTCACTTCAATCCGTTTTGTCCACCTGTTGTCATTGCCTGATGCTTACCACTGTAAACTCTTTAAGTGAGGAACTATTTGTCATGCGTTTTTAGTCCCTAGCACTGTCTCTAGTTCCTAGAACAAACAGCAATAGCCACCACTGTAAATCTGCAATTATTACTAGCCATGACTGAAGGAAAGTGAATCACAGAATAATTTATATACAAACTTTATTAAAATGCAGATGTTGTATAAACTCTCACAAGCAGTATTGTGCATTATGGTCCAAACTTTTAAAGTTTAATAATCATGTTTCTTAAATATAACTAGCTATGAAAACGTCATGCACATCTATTAAAAAGCAGAACTGCAAATTTGATTTTAGTTGCTTCAAATGCAGTTGCATAAAGTTTTTTTTTTTCTTTTTTCTTTGCATAGGTTGTAAATAGCAACATTTAAGCTATTTTCAGATTTTTGTGACAAGGGCTGAGAGAGTCTTGAGTGTAACAGTTGTTTGTTTTTTTAAGTGGAATAAAATAATGTGTTAGTACCCCTTGCACACTGCTGTGCTAAATATTTTTCTATGCAAGTAACTGATACTTTCAGATTTTTAATCACACAAAATATAATGAACACTGAACTGTCTTTGAAATAATATCTCACCACTGGGGTTCAACACTGAACTAAAAAACTTCCACAAGAGAGGAATTGATCCTGTTACAGAACAAGAAATGGCTTGTCCACTTGAGACGCATAGTACGAGCATGAAAATTACAGGCAACACCCCCCAAATTTCTCACCATTGTTATCACCAGTTCAGTCTAAAAACAACTTAACTTTTCTTTAATAACTTTTTAGAATAATAGTTAATACAGCTGAGACCATACATAATTTTGCCACAAAAACATGATTTGGAGCACAAAAATAGAAGAACAATTAACATATTCCCATTTCCTGATTCTTTTGCATATATTTGTTGTCTTGTGCCATAGAGTGAGGCTTTCAAAAAATAGACATACAAAACCTATTGTGCTTAATTCAGCGGCACGTACGTACTAAAACTGGAACACTACAAAGATAAAACCTATTCTAGTTGTAAATTGCAAACACTATATAATATTTGATATAAAAAGTTTACAAAGTATAAAATTAGGAAATGTGCATAGAACACACAGATTGCTTCAGAGGCCATGAAGCAATATGATATTAATAGTAATACTATATTGGCAAAACTTCCTAGTGTAAACACAGGTTATACTAGTTCCCCAGGCAAAAAAATCTATGCTCTTATAAAGCACTTTAATGCTGGCTTAACTGCTTTTGCTGGTATAAAAATATAACAAAAAATATACCTCAAACTTCCTTATACCAGCAATAGTTTTTAGGTGTACACCCTCCTGCGGCAGGGGAACAAAAATCATTGCCTACAAAATTCACTAGTTACATTTGGAAGAGGGTAGGCAAATAATGAGAAATCCAAGATGTATTTTGGTAATAATTCTTTTATAAGCCCACGCTGCACCTTACATAGATAGTAATGCAGAGTTTCTGCAGTCACAGGCTTGTACCAGGATTGTCTTTCAGGGAACTGAATAAAAGAGGGTGCTTGCACTTGCTCCAGTACATGATTTGCATCCGCGTTCAGTGTTTCATACGATCCGATGAAATCGTACCTCACGGCGCAGGGCTGGCACAGGTTGTAGATGGGCATCCAGTGTTCATTCATCCTCTCTGGCTCTTCGTCTAGTAGGTACTGCAGAAATTCAGAGAAGGTCACGTCATCTCCGGTGGACTTCCCTGCGTTTTTCCGGTATCTTTTCACTATTTCCACCCCATACTTTAGCTGGTACTCTTTGATCTCCCCAAACTTATTCCTGTAGGCCGACAGAAGCCTTTCCATTGGGTTTCGAACAAATATAAATTTATAATAGTGCTTTAAGCGGTAATTGATCTCATCCGGCTTCATGTCGCTGAGAAAAAACAGGTCGCTCTTGTGGTCCATCTTGACCTTGACGTCAACGCTCTCCAGGGCCCCGTCCAAGACCTTCAGGATCCGTTTCCAGTTGGAGCAGGCCACTTTGGGGACGTAGCAGTACAGAAAGCGGTACTTGTCGCTGACCAGGATGTGCTTGAGTGCTGTCCTCCTCTGGGCCGCGGGCAGCTGCCAGACGCTGCCAGGCATGTTCCTGTGCCCACACACCGTGCGGATGGTCCGGTTGCGGATGTCCTGCAGCACCTGGTGGCCCACGTCCTCGGGGGCCGCCGCCCGGGCGCCGCGGCCGCCCCTCCAAGACAGGTCCCTGCGCGGGGGGTGCAGCGGCGGGGCCTTCACCTCGGCCAGGATGCCCTTCTCGATCATGAGCAGCAGGCCGCTGGAGGCCACGATCACCGCGAACATCAGCATGGAGGGCAGCAGCAGCGACCCGCCGCCGCCCCGCACCCGC